TTTCGTTTCCCGGGACACCCCTCTCCGTCCGTCTCTCAGCTTCCCTGTCTTAAATCTCTTTTTGCATGACACTATGAATCATTCCATTTAAACCACACAAAGCTAGTAGACCGCGATTTAAGTTCCCACTTCAGTCTTATTGGATCGATCTAATCGCGGAACCAAGATCTTTGTCTCTCCGTATTTCGCATTCCATTCCGAAAATAAATATTGTTCTAGAACGGGTCGCATTGTCAAGGATACAATTGAATGGGCTTGTGCGTGTTTTCGATTCTAGAACATTCCACGGTGAGACCTATAGGATTTTCATTTAACCAAAGCCCATAACCAATCAAGATGCTACAGGGGACGGTCCAATAGTCGGAGGGATAAGGAATGATATCACGTCCGAGATCGGAGCAATTACACTTTATCGATTGCGAACATATCTAGACTCTAGCAAGCAGTAATAGACTTCGGGAATGAAGAAGTCTTTCCCCTGGTAGCCATCCGAACATGACGTCTTCCTCTTTGATGGCATGGTCGGCCACTGAAGATGAGTATCACGAAATCAAAGCGCCTTAAGCATTATACACATTCTGAAGACTTGGGACTTGATGGTTGCTCAAAAGGTATTATCTTACTATTGGCTAATCTATTCTCGACCTTGCAGACTTTTTCCGGACCATCGAATCTTTCATTCGAGTCTCCATGGTGGCGAGCCGGCTCAGGGCATCTTCCAGGTCATGCCGAGTCATCTCATTCCAAGCAACCTGTCGGTTAACAGAATTTGCTAAGGATCTGTAGAGTAAAAATCAGCATTATTTTCACCCTCTTTATCGTAAAATGTACTGACTTCATTCGGCTATCCAGACTTGATCAACATATTAGTAAAAGAACAACTATTTTCAGTCTCCGTACTCACTCGGATACACATTTCAGTGCAATAATGCTATTTTGTGTGGACTTTTCGGGCTCGCCCTCGAATGCAGTCTGGGCTTGACTTGTCTCATTCTCAGATTTCATCTCCCACGGTCGCCAATGGTAACCCTCCCGATTGTCGGCCTCAACACCAACTTTTCTGCGTCCGATAGCTCCATTGTTGTCGGAAGACAATGCATGCCGGGCGGAATGATTCATTTTTGGTCTTTGGCTCCTGGTTTCGTTGCTCGATTCGGAAGATGACAGAGATAATGCACGTTTCAGTCTGCTTCGGAAGGTGTGCGGTCCATCGACAAGTGACATTCTTCGACGAGAAGGTATATTTGGAGTTTGGATATTCCAACTTATTCTGAACTGTTTCGTTTAATCGGAGTTTTGAATAAAGGAAGAAAATTGAAAAGTTCGGGGCATGCTAAATACACGACCGAGCCCGGAGCGGACGGACGATCTGCGGTGGCGGAGAGATCCTGCCCCACTGGTCTCCATATCCGGAGATCTGATCGAATTAGCCTCCACCATTTTAGTCTCTAGCTGGCAAACAGTTTCCAGTTATTGTAATGGAATTAACACATCTGCAACAATAGAGTCACGTAGGCTGGACCAGTCTACAATACAGTACACTCTTATTGATGAACAGATACTATAGGGAAATTGGCAGACGCTGATCAAGAAAGGAGCTAATCGCCATAGCATGAAAGGTGAATCTCAATGCTTAGTCGTGACGCCATGTGGCATTATGAGCGAAGAATGGCTTTGTGTGATCCAAAGACATTTTATCAAGCTCTCAACATGTTGCATTCGCTCTTTCGGTGAACTTTTCGGGGAACAAATCATGCCTTCTAGTTGAGCATCGTTGGATAACATCAGAAATGCCATAAATAAATGAGGATTCACAGTAGCAGAACAGAACCACGGATCACCTCAGTCTGACCATGTTTCTCAATGGTTACATTGGATTATCACATCACCGGCAACTTCCAGGCATAACCAGTAATTCCCAGGAATCAGTCAAGTATTTTGGGTAGGGTTGCCTCTAGAATCTGTCGCTTCGTGACAATCTTTTCAGCCAAAAGTTTAAAGCTCACCACGCCCACTTTCTGTACGTTCTAAATTCCTGCAGCATTCTCACAAGTCAGCTTTTTATTCACCACCGCTTTTTTGACCCTAAGATGTCTCAACACAGCTCGTTCGGCTGGTCAGAATGGGAGGAGGATAATCTTCTCCCTTGGCTAGATGCAAACCGAGCTCTGTCTTGGGAAGCTCGTGCTGCCGCTTATAATGAGCAATATGAGACTAACCGAACAGTCGAATCACTACGGGGAAAGAAATATCACATTCTTCGAAAACGCCGTCTCAATCGTGCCAAGGTATCTAGTCGGCGCTCAGTTCCAAAGCGCCAAAGACGTATTCGACGGCTTGGGGGTGCCAGGAAGAGATTCCCACCATTCACAGATACCAAGGCTCAAAATATCGACCAGTGGCTTCAAAGAATACCTTCAGCAGAATCCACTGCTTCAGAGAGTAGTTCTGCCACAGAAAAGTCACATTCCGGTACGCGGACATCTCTTCGTCGGTTACTCATGCTAATTTGTTCTGTCATTTAGTTTATATCACACCGGATCCGCATCATCCTCAGCCACGAGAATTCCAGTCCAGGTCCTGGCTTTGGGATTATGTACACCGTATCTGTGGAACCAAAGAGCTATCTCCTCATTGGGAGTAGCAATTTGGGGGGTGGATGGATAGAAAACCACAGGATACTTGATAAAGATGTGCATTAGAGCAGCTTCGTTCTGCCAACCCAAAACTGTGACTGCGATTGTGCGGTTTCAGGATCTATCTAGTATTGGGATCTTGGGTTTTCGCATAGGTACAATGCCTGTTAAAAATTGTCTTTCAAATTTAAATTACCACATGTGAGCTTGGGGCTCTTTTTCCATTTTTACCCGGCAGATTGCGACCCGGAATAGGTGATTTAGTAATTCAATTGCTACATGGGAGTTGACAGTCATTTTTTTATTCACCCAGGGCTTTCCAGGAAACAATTTTTAGTCTCTCGATCGTGTGTTGCTATTGAGCTGGATATCCGCGAGCATAAACACGATTCCGAAAATATGCTTCGTTTAAATCGGAGAAATGAGAGGAATAAACAGAAGCCACTTCGGCAGAATGCGCAACTAAGTTCTTCAAAGATTGAAGGATTTTCTCAAATACTGTAATTTCAAAAGTCATTTGAACACAGGATTCCCTCGCCATAATTCTCTTCTTTGAAGGTGGTTTCAAGGGCATTGCTTTTCCCAGTCCAATCAAAGCACTTCCAGATTCTAACATGGAAACACCCTGTAAGAGTCTGAAAAGGGATAATGACCACCCCTGTCGATCATTGGTCTCGATCCCCGGACTCTCCAGCGGAGAGACTTTTTTGCTAAGCATATATTGACACCCTTAAGTGCTGATCCTTTTCCATATTTGTGACGTTACATGTGCCATTGAATAGTGGATGCGACCCCTATCGGATAGAACATACCAGCAGCGCAAGCAATGCTTCCGCAGTCATGCGGAAACCATGGTTCATGAGGGTTTTCTTTCATCGGCCTTCCGGCCAAGGAACTTTCACAGCCAAGCCTGCTGACACAAAGTCGAAGCTCCCCTTGAATGGTACTGTATACGAGAGACATGTTCATTTTCCATCTCTACATCTTTCGCGGTCCTGTGGTTGCTATCCAAAGGTTTTCTTTTCCCTCTCGGATAAACCTTCCACCACCTATAGATATCTACATCATGAGTGATCAAAGCAATCACGTACCAGATTCTTTGAATGACAGAGTTCATGCACATCTTGCCCAGGTGGCAAACATGCAGAGTACGGATCGAGGAGAAAAACGGAATCCCTCGTCCAGCAAAAACTGCATCTAGTCCAAGATCTCATTTCTCCTTCCGTACTAGAAACAGCAGCCAGAATAGTAGCAAGAGTCGTCAGCTTGAAGTGAATCGCCCCCGAAAAGTCCGATTCGAAGGAATCCCAGAAGATGAGCCCGTTGAAGGCTCTGTATCGTCTCAGTCTGATGGGCAGCAATCTTCCAACAGTCGGTAAGCAAACATCTGCAAAGAATTGTCTATCTTGTCTTGCATCTTTCTAATCAACACATCCAGTATGAGTAAGAAAGAAAGGTCAGTTCTTCCACTTAATCGGATGTTCTGTGAAGTTTCTTGGTTCCTAGCCACTCCCACCGTCAAGGCGCCGCAAGATGGAGACTAATTTTTGATCAGAATGTCAAAGGACAAATCCAAAATGCTTGCTCAGAGAAATCGTGCAAGGGATGTGAAGAGGCTCGAAAGAGAATTCAAAATCGTCAAAACCGAGATCAAGAAGATTAAGGAAATGCTAGTGAATAGACAATAAAATGTACATGGGAGGTCCTAAGGTTACAGAACGTTTTGTCAATTCGAGAAAATCTTAGTCGATGAATGAAATTCATTCATGGCAAATTGATGGCATAGGATAGGAAATTTCCACCAACAACAGATATACTCGCTTAGGCAATTTGGCTGAGAATATCAGAGCGTGAATGAGATAGAGCCAACCATTTCCGCAAAGATAGCTGCGGAGAATTTGAATGGCGAGGCCGGCCCTTTGATTGCTGCTTCAGTGTATATTTTCAAATCACCGGCGTAAAAACAGTTTCTCATTTGTCAACAACGTTGAGGCATTTTATTTGTCAGGCCTAGACCCCGGAGTGCCAAGGGTCCAGGTGGGGCGTGCCACTCCACCCGCTCTCCGCTCCAAACTCTTGAAATTTCTTATTTCAACGTTGATAAACCGCCTCAACACCCACGAAATTAGGGTCGCCCAGTGCGAATTTGAAGTCAAAATCTCTGAACTCGGCAAAATGTACGCAAGTGGTCGCTGCTGGAAACCCTTCTCAGAATGGCAAAAAAGACTCTTTTCTCGTCAAGAAAAGCAGGACTTTCCTCCTCACACTCCCGAGCCACTCGGGTGTTCTTCGCCGGACAAGCTAGATTCTCAATTGAAATTTGGATATTCTTCTTGACACTCGCAAGGGAGTAAAAAATTAACAATGGCGCGACAGGGAGGGGAAGCCTCTGGATATCGCTGCAGCAAACTTTGGAGAGAGTGCAGAAAATTGCGCGATGGTCTGGAGGGAGAGACTCGACCTTCAGACCATACGGACTCCTCAAAATCTCTGGGCGTGTCTAGTACGAATACCTCGACAGAACACGTTCCCGCCCGGCCATTGGCTGAAAAGCCTGGAGGCAAACGCAAACGAAGGGTCCGTTTTGAGCTCACTGAAAGGAAGCAGTCCCCAGAGTCAATCGAATTTGGGGTGAATGACCAGGCTCAATCTATCAGCTCGAGGTGAGTGGCTTTTCGAGCTTTGCACTCCAGCACCAGGTTCTCGGAAATCCATATCTCTAATTCAAAGAACAGACAGAGCATAGGGAAGCACAAAGAAAAAAGACGGCCCACTAGACGACAGAGGTGAGTTTCTGAAGCCTTTCTCATTACTTTGGGCTCGTACAAACCAGGACGACCTTGTAGCTGAAACAAAACATAGATCGATGCCAAGAAAGCGCAAGGGGGACCGTCGGCAAAACCTTTGTGATAGTTCTAATTCAACACGCCACGCAAGTCCTGCATGATGCCGAAAGCCTCCTAGGAGGGACCTTGATGACCAGTTTTAGACGGGTCTAGCAATTTTCCAAACCTTTGGAGCTACCTCAGCCCTTGCGGAGATCTATTCCCGTTTTTCGGTGTGATACGATCCTCGGGCAATCCACCAACACTTAAATACTTCGTCGTCGGCGGATATTGGGTCGCGACTTTTGATTTACGCTCCCTGTACTGATTTTTAAAACTCACGATCGTGATTCTTGTAAAATCTCTACCAGATTTGAATTATACTGTCAGGATGTACGAGATCGCCCGACACAATGTCCTGCACTTGATTGGGTTTGAATAAGAACATCATGAAGTATCACCGATTCGCTTCATCAGTCCAAATATGGATTCGAGTCTCAGTGTCTTCCATTGCAGCAAAATCCGTGTTTGTATATCTCATCTTGGCCCCCAGTGAGCTCGCACTGGGCGACAGTCCTCGCCAGGCTGTTGGGACAATGGATTCATACCTTCTCGTGGTGTCCGGTGTTAATCCCCGTTGCGGGAGACCAAAGTGAATCCGTCGTGGTTGTGCGGTCCGGCCCGGCGCGCTGTGTGCGGGGCACGACCACACAACCACACCAAAATCAGGGGAAAACGGGATATGAAAACCATCCGACTTCTTCTTACCCGACTCGCACTCGGGCCCAGACGCTGGTCTTGCATTACCAGTCGAAGTGGTGTCGCCCTAGGAAGAAGACAGGACACCCCTGAGCTTGTATACGGTCTGGGATCGCATCGTGCGAGATGCGGCGAGGCGGTAGTGAACCAGCGACGCAGGCAGTCAAGCTAACATCGGACAGACCTCGTTCAAGGCCCAGAGGCCTCGTTAAGACTCGAACTCGTTAAGGCTCGGAGACGTCGTTCGCTGGAGACCTCGTTAAGGCGAAGCTACGGGTAAGCTCTAGCGCGGCTGTTCTGCGAGACACGGGCACCGCCGAGACACGGGCAACCCTCTTGGGAGACACACGGGCAATCTGGAAGATATTGGTGGTTGGCTGATGGCAACTGATGAAGCTCGTTAAGGCTGTGCCACGGGTAAATCATCGGCCCTGTCCAGTCACTGGGGACCAAGCTTGGTTAGTAGAGAGCAACCGACATACACTGCCGGCTGGAGCGTATACGAAGGCTCTCTGCAAGACACGGTCGGCCTAGCGGAGGGAGACCTCCCTAGGTAACGCGAAACGAGAGCGCAAGCTTTCGCGGGGCGTGGTGTACAATGGCAGCCACTGTGGCAGGGGTGGGCCCTTGTCAAGAGACTGTCTGTATAGCCTGAGAGGACGGATGCGCGTGTCGGTGTACAAACAGACGGGAGTCAATTACCTCACTCGCACTGGGGGCCTGAGACTGACCTCGGTCGGTTGAAGCGGTGTCGTCCTAGTTGGCCTGCCCGTGATGTATGCTTAAGGAGCAAACTAAGAGACACCCAGGGTGAGAGGCCTGGTGAACCTCAAGAGTCCAGAAGCCTCATTATCGGGTGAAAAACTGGGGTAGTGGTCTATGCAAGTAGGCCTGTCGAAGCTACTTAATGTCTTTTGGGCGACAACCACAACCACCGACAAGAGGGAAACCGCTCGCGATCTATCAATACAACGTCAATCGATCGAAGGACATCGTCATGGCTCAATTCATGAGGGATCCGGCCGTCATCGAGGCCGACATTATCGCCATTCAGGAGCCCTGGAAGAATCCATTCAGCAACACGACACATCATCCGGCGAAAGACACACATGAATTACTATACCCGGAGATAGGAGGAGAGGGGGAGGAGAGAGCACGAGTCTGTATGTTTGTTTCGAAGAAGCTCACCGGATGGGCACACACGGTCCACAGCAGGGACGTGCAAGAACTAAACATCAACACACTCACGGGCAACCTGCGCATCATGAACGTCTACAACGATATACACACCCACGCAGCGCTACACCTTTTGCCAGCGTTGCTTCCTGAGACGAGCAGCAACAACAGCATGTATATAGTATTGGGGGATTTCAACCTACACCATCCATGGTGGGGAGGGGAAGGCGTGAAGGCGGACGAGAAGGCAGAGGAACTGCTAGATCTAATGGAGAGATTAGCAATCGATAACTGGTTGCCCGAGGGAACGATCACACGCAGGGATACTCGTTCCGAGTCGACTATCGACATGGTGCTCGCGTCAGCACCGGTGAAACCCCGCATGATCAACTGTGAGGTCCACATGAAGGTCCACGCGGACTCAGACCACTTCCCAATCCACTCTCTCGTCGATGTCGATACGCAAGTGGCCAAGGACCCGGTGCTGCGCCGCAACTGGAAGGCCACGGATGAGCCCAAGCTGATCCAATTTGTGAACGACAACCTCCAACACTGGCACCCGACCCCAGGCAACACGCAACAAATCGAACACGACACTGAACGCCTGCTACAAGTGGTGCAGCAGGGGATCCAGGCCACCGTACCATGGGCCCGTCCGTCTGCATTCGCAAAGGAGGGGTGGACGAAGGAGTGCACAGAGGCTATTAGAACCTGCCGCAGGCTATTCAGAGAGATTAGCAAAGCACGAACCGAGGAGGAGAGGGAGGAGAAACACCAGGTATACGCTGCGATGCGGAACCACAAAGGTCGAACTATTAAGAAGGCACTCAGTGTGGGCTTTCGGCGGTGGGTTCGGAAGGCGAGCAGGACCAAAGGAGGGCTCTGGAAGCTGTCTAAATGGGCTCGTAACCGGCAGCAAACCACCAGTGGCGTGATCCCCCCGTTGCAGGGTCCCGATGGCAATGCCACCAGTGAGGCGGAGAAGGTAGATCTCCTCCGCAAAACCTTCTTTCCACGACCACCGGAGGCGGACCTGTCAGACCTGGCCCCGGGCCGGCATGTCCACTACAAACCAACAATCGAATTCCCCGACATCACAGAACAGGAAGTCCGGGATGCTATCCACCGAGCACCACCGGACAAGGCCCCAGGCGAGGATGCTATTCCCAACCGGATGTGGAAAATCCTAGCGGCGAGCTGCGGCAATTTTGTCCCCATCATCACGAGGATATTTGATGCGTGTATTCGAACTGGATACAACCCTGAGTGTTTCCAGGCCTCGATCACGGTGACGCTACGGAAGGGTGGCCCCCGAGACTTCCGGCTACCTAAGTCCTACCGGCCAGTGGCCCTGATCAACACACTCGCGAAGCTTCTGGAATCGATCATCGCCACACGGATCTCTGACGCAGTGGAACAACACGCTTTACTCCCGGTGACCCATTTGGGGGGGCCGGAAAGGTATCTCCATTGATCATGTTATACAGCTAATTCTGGACCGGGTGCACCGGGCCTGGGGCCGGGGCCGCCAGGCCTCGATGGTATTGCTCGATGTAGCTGGGGCCTACGACAACGTCTCCCATGAACGGTTGCTGAGCAATATCCAAAGGCTCGGGCTCGGGCTCCTGGTTCCCTGGATTAGGGCCTTCTTAACTAATCGCAGGACCCGAATCAAGCTCCCAGGCTATCTCAGCGAGGCATTCCCAACCCCAACCGGCATCCCACAAGGATCCCCACTCTCTCCGATCCTCTTCCTCCTGTTCAACGCCCCCTTGGTGAGCACCTGCTGCAAGGAAACCGGGGACGGGATAACCGAAGGATTTGGATGGGTAGACGACGTGGCGATCGTGGTGGTCTCCGAATCCTACTACACCAATACACAACTGCTACAGAAGACCCTAGGCCGGGCCGACCTCTGGGCAAAACGGCATGCAGCCAAATTCGCCCCGGACAAGTTCGAACTCATCCACTTCAAGAACCCTCGAGCACCAGATATCAACCAAAATGACCCAAATCCCCCAAATACAGCCACCGGCATCCCCTCCGACGTGGATCCCTACGATTTCGATGCCTGCCATCCGCAGGGCAACGATCAGATGTCGATCTCAGTTCCCGGCGGGGGTCAAATCGAACCATCTCAGCACGCTAAATATCTAGGAATCTGGCTCGATAAAACCCTCTCGTTCCAAAAGCACCGGGACTATGTGATTGCAAGAGCCAACGGTAGTTTGGAGGCCCTCCGAGAGATTACAGGGTCCACATGGGGCGTCTCCTTGCTCAGCATGCGTAAGGTGTACCAAGCTGTGGTGGTCCCCCAGCTATTGTATGGGCTCTCGGCATGGTACGGTCCGGCGACAGGCAACCTCAAAGCCTGGGAGCGACACCGGGTGGTAGCAGCGCTCGCACGTGTGCAGAAGCGCGCCGCAATCGCCATCAGCGGCGCGTTCAAGGGGGTCAGTGGTGCCCTGCTGGACGTAGAGCTCTACATCCTGCCAATCCATCTACAGATGCAACAAAATATTGAAGAAGCCGCCATTCGAATCCAAACAAGCCCAACGTGGGCCCAACCAATGACCCTTCAGTACCAACGACAGCCAAAGCAACGCCGGCTCGGGGGCTGGAGCCCGCTGGAAGCCCTCCGATGGAAGAAGAACGAAGTCCTGAATACTCTCACGCCCCCAGAAGGGGTTTGGGAGACCCGCCATGCGGGCACTCTCCGGCCCTGGGAGCCCCGGATCACATGTATTATTGGGAACAATGCGGAAGCAGCCATTGCTACGCACGATCGTATCCAGAATGAGCTACTGGATTGGGAACTACAGTCCCGGGTGGAGCCGCACCTCCGAACGTATCAGATACCGGAGCAACCACCGATGGAGATTTTCTTTACCGACGGCAGTGGCTATCAGGGCCACGTAGGTGCAGCCGCGGTCTCGCTCCGCCCGATGGGAGCCAAGGGGAGCCTCTATTTGAACCGGTACCTGGGGACTACCGATGATTCAACAGTGTATGTTGCTGAACTGAACGGAGTGGAGATGGCACTCGCAACGTTCATGAAGGAAATAGGGACAGACCAGCCTGCAAAGCTGGTTATCTTCTCTGATAGCCAAGCAGCTATCCAAGCAATTGCCAACCCAAAGCGATCGTCGGGCCAATACGTGATCCGACAAATATATGAACACGTACGAACCCTCCGATCGCTCACACCCACATGCAGCCCGATTCCCGCTGCCATTGAGATCCACTGGATCCCCGCACATGTGGGTGTGCCGGGCAACGAAGCAGCCGACGTTGAAGCTAAGTTTGCTGCGGAGCACGGGGGTGGGGCGGACTATCGTGGGGCCGAGGTCCGATTAGCCTCATCCGCGCGACGCTGGGTGCGGCAGCGGATTAAGGAACGATGGATGAAGGCGTGGGCGAAGGAGAAGACGGCCCAGCGGTATCACCAGTTGGTGGAGGCGCCCTCGAAGAAGGTCCTGAAGCTATACGAAGGACTGCCGAAGGCCTATTCCTCAATCCTGGTGCAGATGCGCTCGCAGCGTATCGGATTGAGGCATTTCCTCTTCAAACATACCAATCAGCGGGGGCAGGATGATCAGTTCAACGCAGGCCGGTGTCACTGTGACGAGGGCAGTCAGACGCCCAGGCATGTCCTCCTCCAGTGCCCGTTATACACCAGCCTGAGGGAGACCATGTTGAACAAGATCTGGTATAAAACCGACCTTGGGCGTACAACCGACTACAACACGATTGTATCGGACTCGCAGGCCATCCGCTACGTGGCCGAATTCATGCACCGAACAGGACTCCTCGGTCAATTCCGCGACGTGGAATACGAGGATGTCGACGCAAACATTGACACGCTCGAAGGGAGTGGGCACTAGGAGGTGAAGACGCTACGTATAAGGAAGAATACTGTCAACTGGCGGCTACGAGAGGTCGTGCAGGCGGAGGAGCTACTACACCATCGAAGAACAATTGCAGGAGGAACCAGGGCGTGACTGAGGTCATGCCTGTGGCGGGGACGGGGAGAGTCGCGGCCATGGGCAGTGGCCGTAGGCGCTGTGGGAGCTGGCAGTAGCCGATTACATTCATTGTGAGCGTTTCGTTACCGTCATTGTGGGAGTTATTACTTGTTTTTCTATGGCAATACGCCGTATCTCCTTTGTCTTTTGTTACTGCGGGCGTGGCGTTAGGATGGTTCTGGTTCCCGATGGAGGGAACGCCTACATAGCCACGGCGCTCACTAGCCAGGCTGCATTAGGTTAATAGAATCTTGAATTGAATTGAATTGAAATGAATATATCTCATCTTGTTGTTCGAATTCAAATTAGCAGGCCTTCTGGGGCTCAGTCTACCGGCCCGTAGATACCAAGATCAAAGAAGCTTGCAGCCGGAACTCGGCACTGTAGCATACAGTATTCAGGCCTATTCTTCCTCATCGAGAAGCTTGGGTGGGGAGATGGTTCAATAAGACGATAGTCCATCGCAATTGTTGCACGAAGCATGGAAAGCTCCTTAGTACATCCGGAGACTCAATCAATCGGACATTCTAACATGCGCATATGGGAAAATTGGGCAAAGGGCGTGGGACAGGATAGTAGACTGTGTCTCCTGTGTCCATATTTCACCATGCTAAACTTCAGGGGCTGGAGCAGACTTACCCTGTCTTGGGCCAATACTTGAATAATGCGGCGAGGCGCTCGTACTTGAATGATGCAGGCTCTGGGCAAGACTGTGATTTTTCCAGTCTTTCCCAGATGAAATTTTGGATAGATTTTGAGCACTAAAATACACTTTTTGAGAGGTTTCAGGGTCTCTGGGCACGCTCAGCATACGGCCAAAGGCTGCGGTAGAAGCCGTCCTGGGACAAAATGAAAGGTGCAATACCCGAGCGGACGTCTCATAGAGTAGTTTGAAGGATCCGATACGGTGCTTGAAAGGGAATTTAGGTCGTCGAAGATCGAAGCATGGGTACAGGGTTTCCATGAATTCTATCATGAGGCACTCCAGCCCCGATTTGGATCTACTCGTGACATTATTCCCCTAGTACTGAGCCAGGCGGCGTTCGAAAGCCCTGGAACAAATGGATTCTAGAAAAGGTTGATTCTAAGGGCCATCGTTTGCCGAGAACTCACTGATTGCAGAGATCTCAGATTCTGGCGGCAACGGGGCCTTGATCGGGCCTCGACGAAACCATATTCTGATATGTAACAGATTCGGCTTCAAAGTCTCTTCATCGATGGAGCCGTCTCGACTCGTTTCTGGGTGCCAGCGCATGTGGCAGTCCGATCATCGTCCACTCGTTGTTGTAATAGAGATCCGGGTGACAAATCGTCTCGCAGTGGTTGTAACTCGCAACGGAATAGACAACAGTGAGGCTAACAGGGTGAATAGAGGCAGAGAGCAATATTCCGGCTTAAGGTAAAATCTTGCGGACAGAAATTTAGCGGGCAGGCAAGCGATTTGCCAAAGCGAGTTATTGATAAATCACCAGTTCAACCTACACCTTACGCCAACTGCGTTGAAGGCCGTTGAACCTAGGCCAATGAACGTTGAGGCAAATAATTTGCCTGGCGGGCCTGGTCCCATCCAGTGGAACGAGCCACATCCTCGTCTGCTACCCCAAAACGCTTTACTATGCTTATTTCAATGTTGAAAAGAACGCCTCATCGCCTAGCAAAGACGTGCTCGCGCGGCACAAACGCCGAATGTCAAACACTAATTCTGGCGATATGCGCGCAATTGGTGCCTCCACAATATCGGATGCAAACTTCGACCACCACTCGCTCACTATCTAAAAAGCCATGTCTCGACGGCGTTGATGAGGGAATGATTTGTCACGCATCGTATCATACCAACCACGGCTCCAGTTGGATCCATCCACTCCACCCGCTCTCCACTCTAAACTCTTGAAATTTCTTATTTCAACGTTGATAAACCGCCTCAACACCCACGAAATTAGGGTCGCCCGCTGCGAATTTGAAGTCAAAATCTCTGGACTCGGCAAAATGTACGCAAGTGGTCGCTGCCGAAACCTCTACTCAGAATAGCATAAAAGACGCTCTTTTCCCGTCGAAAAGAAAAGCAGGACTTTCCTCCTCACACTCCGGGCCTCGCAGCCTTGGGGTGTCTTTTGCAGGTAAGATCTGCGTTACCAAAAAGTCTTCGCGCGAAAGGCCCCGCGTAATCAAGTTTGCCTCGCAGGGGGAAGCTGCGTTACCAATTGAGACCCGCAGGAGAGTGTTGCGTCAACAAGTTCTCCCTCGCAGCAATGAGCCCTGCGTTGTAACAATGTGCTCCGCAGGGACATCTGCGAGATCAAGAGCCTCCGCAGGGACATCTGCGAGATCAAGAGCCTCCGCAGGGACATCTGCGACATCAAGAGCCTCCGCAGGGACATCTGCGATATCACGAGCCTCCGCAGGGACATCTGCGAGATCAAGAGTCTCCGCAGGGACATCTGCGATATCACGAGCCTCCGCAGGGACATCTGCGAGATCAAGAGCCTCCGCAGGGACATCTGCGATATCAAGAGCCTCCGCAGGGACATCTGCGACATCAAGAGCCTCCGCAGGGACATCTGCGATATCACGAGCCTCCGCAGGGACATCTGCGAGATCAAGAGTCTCCGCAGGGACATCTGCGATATCACGAGCCTCCGCAGGGACATCTGCGAGATCAAGAGCCTCCGCAGGGACATCTGCGATATCAAGAGCCTCCGCAGGGACATCTGCGACATCAAGAGCCTCCGCAGGGACATCTGCGATATCACGAGCCTCCGCAGGGACATCTGCGAGATCAAGAGCCTCCGCAGGGACATCTGCGAGATCAAGAGCCTCCGCAGGGACATCTGCGACATCAAGAGCCTCCGCAGGGACATCTGCGATATCACGAGCCTCCGCAGGGACATCTGCGATATCACGAGCCTCCGCAGGGACATCTGCGAGATCAAGAGTCTCCGCAGGGACATCTGCGATATCACGAGCCTCCGCAGGGACATCTGCGAGATCAAGAGCCTCCGCAGGGACATCTGCGAGATCAAGAGCCTCCGCAGGGACATCTGCGACATCAAGAGTCTCCGCAGGGACATCTGCGATATCACGAGCCTCCGCAGGGACATCTGCGAGATCAAGAGCCTCCGCAGGGACATCTGCGATATCAAGAGCCTCCGCAGGGACATCTGCGACATCAAGAGTCTCCGCAGGGACATCTGCGATATCACGAGCCTCCGCAGGGACATCTGCGACACCAAGTTCTCCCTCACAGCCCTGAGCCCTGTGATTGTATAATCTTGAGCTTCCAGGCAGCCTTGAGCCCTGCGTTATCAAATTTGCGCTCATTAGGCGACCCGTGGCGCCGCGGTCCTCGTCCTGATCCTCTGGCCATTGCAGGCACCTCTTCGTGGTGTCAGAGACTAGTATTCGGGGTCGTCAGATCCCGAAGAAGCCAAGACCTGCTCCAAATAATCAATAGAATCAAGAATCATCCCGCATACTTTGTGTCATGCCCTTCAGCCTGTTTGTAGAGTTCAATAGCCAGGTTCCTGGTTCGCGTGTAGTTTTAATGTAGCCTTGAATCACGCCCTGGCTTTCGACAATGGGCATTTCTTCAACGTAGTGCGAGGTAGAGCACTGAGTCATCGGACCAGTGGGGATCTCAGTGTATGATAGCTTGGTGGCCGATCCGAGCGACGCGTGCAATCCAAAGTAGCCTCCATTTGTGTGAATGCGTATCTTTGCTGGCTATCAGTGGTGGCAAAAGTTGTCGCGACGTGATGAGACGCGGGTTATCGACAGTGAGTAGGTAGTGTTGGCGTGCTGATGAAGGCGTGCTGATGATGAAGACGTGTTGGTGGTGAGGACACGTTGATGGTGAGGGCTGGAGATGAGGGCCGGAGGTGAGTGACAATTGAGAGTTGGTGATGATCATGATCGATGGGAACCAGTGGTCAACATATTGATTTGCGACGCGGCGTAACTGCCGAGCGGTGAAGTGGCTGCCAACGGTGACTACCCATCGCCGTTACAGTTGGATCTTCGTTAGCTCACCAATGATGTAAAAGATGATGGACGGTGAAACATGATGCAGTTCGTCAACTGGAATCTGTCATCACACCAGATCGTAATTTAACTATCTGTGGATAGTCTTTTTTGAAAAAACTCGACCTTGGGCTTGGAGGCGCGTGACGGTGCAACCAACTTTTGTTCCCAATTCAAAAGTAGGTTAAAGGGGGGTACATTATGTACATCTATTGACGATAGATTTAATGATTGTTTCACTCGGGTCGCTCTTCTACGTGGCTTGAGCTTCGTCGCATACTCTTTGGTGATACATAGCTCTTGGATAATGTCGATCAATGATCATCGTGTGCGTAATATATATCCTAGATGCGCACGTACATCGTAGCAGTAGAATTGGAAAACCATCAGAATGTCCGCGATTCAAGCCCTTTCTTCTGGCCCTCTTTTCAAATATCATATTACATTGGCATGGCCAAATGAGAGACTCTTGTGGAGCTCAAAGGGGTAATGTAGCTGAGGACTGGTCGAGACTAACGGTGGCTATGGTATTCTAAAAAGACGGTGGATATAGTGAGGCAGATTTCGCGCGTTCAGCGAATCTGCTCCCGTGGTCTAGTCGAATATGCCACGTTTGCTTCCTTACCGTGCCGGGTTCGATTCCCGCAGGGCGCATCTGGATGACCATTCATCAGAAAGACGGTTATCGCTCATGCATCGTGTTCACAACCCGCTTGTTTCCGATTCGTCTCGCGTGTCTTTTCTCTTGGGCCTATTATTTTCTGTCGTCACTTGACATGACCTAGGGCAGCACCCGGCGGTATACTTCAGGCGACAAGGCCGTGCACTGACGCGTCGCAGCG